TCTGTCACTGTGCGGCTTGATTGCTGTTGCGCCAAGCATAATATTTGAGAACGGCCGAAAAGGAAATCCTCGATTTATTTAAGAGGTTTGACGCCGATACTCATTAATCTCAACTTGTAAATGAGACGCTGGTGCGGAACACTGCCGAACGCCTTCCGGAAATCGATGTAGGCTACATACACAGCGTGTTTTTTTATGGAGTGCTCTTGTGCAGCTTTGCATTGTGTATAGCAAGTTCGTTGCACACAATCTTCCCCTACGATGTCTCTATTGTGCATTAGACAAGAGGTTGTGGGTTTTCAAATAAGTCATCAATTCCCTTTTGGCGATTTTTCCCATGACTTTGTAAGAGATTGGTGTCAGACTGACGGGCCTATAATTCTTCACATGTACATGATTACCACTTTATACATAGGTGTAATGCGACCCATCTTTCATTCTGTGGAAAGGAGTCCAGCATCAAACGACGCTTGGCACAAAAAGGCGGTTGGTTTGGCCAAGTCACGGGAAAGTTCAGAGCGTAGTTTTGCGGGGATTTCGTCCGCGCCGGGAGATTTACATTCCTTCAAGCTTTTTACTTCCCCGAAAATCGCTCGTTCGCAAAAAAAACAATATTTTAAATAGTCGCATCTCCCATGTTCTCAGAATTAGATGGAATAAAGTCTGCATCCGCTGTGAAAACAGGTCGGAAGAACTAGGAAGTATGCTTTTCTCTGTTTGTACTGTCCGATATCTCCAAACGGTCACCATTCTTCGTGACAGGAATGGGATTCCTGTTACGGGTGCTTTTTGCAAATAGCTGCGGAGAAATTTTGAATTTTTGACGGCTCATTGGAGCAAATTACCCTTGAAATCTCGTTGTCTCTCGAAAACTAAGCTTTTCAACTTGCTCCTTTGGACTTTATGTTCTGTAAACGCTGCTTTGCTGTTGTTTTCGATAAGGGACAGTGGCTCTTCATTAGATGCAGTAACTGACCATTATTTAAATGTCAGTCCTCGCTGACATTCCTGGAGAAGGGGACATTCCAGTCTGTTTGTGATGCCTCTGCTCTCATTTGACAAGTGTCGACTTGCCATATATTTAGCCTAGTCTGAGTTATCGCAAACGGTGCAGAATACAGTTCGTAATGTCATAGAAGTACTGCACGATCACTCCGACCGAACGGAGGCAGGCAATACACCTCATATATGCTATTCGAGTCTTTGGTAAAGACGAGATCCAACCAAATAGCCGTTGCCCTCCACACGCTCTAATTGGAAATGGAACATGCTGTGTCGGAAGAGCTTCAAGTGTTGTCTTTAGAAGACGGTAATCGAAGGTATACTTAGGGGACTTCGCACTTATGTCGCCTCATTGAATGTAGGGTGCATTAAAGTCCCCCCACGAGTTCAACGTCCGGTCGACTGCCGAACTCATTTATGCTTTCCAGCAGACAAGTATCTGCGTCGGGGTCCGTCCGTGGTGGTCGGCAGATAGTTATGACTTCGAGAGCCTGCGACCTGCGTACATCTATTGTCAGCCAAATGGCTTCTGTGTCGTCGGAAATCTTGTTAGTTCTCTCGAATACCGTGAAGTAGCTCTTTGCATAAACGGTAACTCTTCCGCCCTGGCTATCCCTTCTGTCTTTCCAAAACTGTTGGTATCCTGGTAATACTGCTCCGCAATCACTTAGTTCTCTGACAGCCACGTTTCTGTAATTTCTATAACGTCAGGAGACGTATCGACTACTTGTATCGTCAGTTTGGAGAGCTTGGAAAGCAGACTGTGAATTGGTATAAAAGAATTGCAGTTTGCAACATTAAATAGCACTTAGTTCGGTTTGAGTTAAGATTGCCAGTAGTAAGCTGTCGCAGCCATCATGACCACCGGTTGGTTGCAGAGTAACGCCGCACTCCTTGGTATCACTCGTCCCCCGGAGATGGCCAAGCTGTTCTTTCCAACTGCAAGTCTCCTCATCAACTCCGTCACTAACTCGCAGCGTTTCAGGCTTCCCTCTGGAGAGTAGTCCGGCAGAAAATATCCTCCTTGAACGAGTTTCGGAGGCTGCTTTTCCGGGACGGAAGTAAACTAGCCTTTTATTTACTGACCAAAACAAATTTAAGAGGTCGCGGTCGCACAGTTTCAGATTGTTCGCTCGTTTTGCCGATCCTGAAGGCTGCGCGAATGGTTACTTTCTCATCCGGATTAAGCATATTGTTCAACAGGTTTTGAAACCAACTGGCAAGCAATGTATTGGCGTCTGCATACACACTAATAGGGGCTACTTGATTTGCAGAAAATATGACCTGCTATACAGAGGCTGGCTTTTAGAGTAGACATAGTGTACTAAATCATACAACTGCACGACCATAACAGACATGAATACAGCGACATCGAAATGGACCACTGCAACAGAACAAACCCTGGCTTCATAAGAACCAAAAGACTTAAGATACGTCCAACCAAATGCTTTTGGGTTGACTTAAAATGACGAATAATCTTCTGTCAGTATTTTTCTTAGCATTTTCATTTACACAGGCGATTTTTTGTACTCGTGTTCGGGAACGCTAAAACATACACAACAACCGGTTTTGCTTGCTATAACGCGTTTTTATGTCCACATGATGCTTAGCATTTTTGCTTTCGTTGATTACGCTTATATGCCCCAATCCGTTTTTGTCAAATGGGACCATCAATTTATACCTCTCGAACACATCCTGCCGGAGCTGAACTTACTCGAACGACGAGCTCTGCTAACTAACTTCAACTCGGAACTTCCAGGACTTTACCCAGAGCATTCTTCTTGTTATAACGACCTGATGATAATGGAGAGGGCTTTTTCGTGATCCCACATAAAAATTTACCTTTGTCGTTCTTCCCCCATTTTTTATAAGTCGCTATGTGTAGGAGATGCAACTTTCACCACCAAAAGTTAAGTTGTTTCCTGTATCCGGTGTTTCTTCGGGGGTTCAAATGCTGTTTGCGCAACCATAAAGTCGACGACTCCCTAATAATTGAGGGACAATCTAAAACGACAATCGACGTGAAAATACACATGCGAAGGTTGGGCTTACACTCAAACTCTCAGTAACTTATCGATGAGACAAAAAATCCGCAACACCCAACAATCAATAGAGTACACACGGGACTCCACCACAACAGAACCGGCAGTTAAAGTGCTTGTCATTAGAAAGTAGATTTATGAATGCCCATGGGTAATGCAGACAATCAGGGAAAATAAAAATGCATTCCGTGTTGCTGCATACCGATTTCGGAATTTGGGCGTGATAAGTCGTCCGGAACTCGTGAAGTACAGCCTCCGGAAGCCAGCTGCTCAGTTGATTGCTGTGCTCGTTTTGTACTCTTGTTATGGGAAACGGAGACACAGTGGTGTCCCGGTCCAAAGTGAAGGGAAAACGCAACCACGCTCGGCACGGCCACCCATGCTGGCAGCGAAGTGCACGCACTAAACCAGCTAGACCGTCAGCATGACACTTCTCTTATGTGCCGGCGGAACATTCGCAATTTTTCCACGAGGAGGTCCTCGTGTCAAAAATAGACAATCAACTGAAAGCCCGCCAGAGTCCAGAATGTTCTGGGATCGTTCGGAATTAAATACCTGGGGTGGGTTTTAGCGTATCCGTCATCGCGTTAGTCATGCTGGCAGACTAAAGCAGCTGGTCGCGGAACCCGCACGCTTTCTCACCCACTGTTTGGACAGGACAACACTCTTCTTTGCAATGTGCTTCTTCGACTCGAATGGCGTGTGTTTCCGTAAATACCAAAATGCCCTCTGTCTCTGCGTGGGTGTTAGAGGCAGCAGGCACTAAAGGCCCTTATCGGAAGATATTCTCCGATTCCATAAACCCGACAGTAACGCTGATCAGTACACCCAGCTAAGCGGCCATTCGACCAGCTATGTCAACATTCAAAACAAATCATGGGAAATTAGAATTACGGCAGAGATCATTTAAATTCCGCGCCACTGACTGCCCACTGACACGAAGGCCAGGGAACCACTTGGAAATTTATCTGTGTTGTACACTTACTGCAGGTTTGACGGCGAACTGAGTAACCAGTATCGAAAATTTGCGGAATAAACATTGTTGCCTTCTCAAGCGACCTAGTTGACATTAATTGCTATTTCTTAGCATGAAGGAACACTCTAACAGCATAGCAGAAGTCCACTAGTCGTTGCTGGACCGAAGGGCGTTCGTGCCAAGTTAGATGTAGAGATGAAGTGTTGCTGTTTTTATTTAGCGCAGGTTCTCTTACGCTGTTAAGGGAGGTTATTGGGCACTGCGTTCGAATTCCAGATCGGACGTGATTCAGAGACTGGAAGCAGCAATCGCAAATGGATGCTAAGCCCTCCCCCTGAGAATTGCGCCTAACCGGTGGAAGTGTGCGAACGGACAGTTAAAAAAGGAAAAAGAAAGGCTGACAAGGTTAGATGCACCTAAATACCTCGCAGCGAATCCTATTTGCTTTTGAATAGAAACAATGACGGATCTGACATCCGCGCATGCCAGTTATCTGACGTGTACTCCCCCAGATATGGACGTAGTCTCCTTCAAACAGTCCCACTGTTGGACGTCGCGACACTAAAACGGTCTAAAGGCCCGCAGAAGAGTAATATAAAGAGACGACACACGTTTTCCTAGGTCCCAAAATCCAAGATGTAGGCAAACGGTGAAAAAGGCGAAGAAAAATAAGGCTTTATTCAAAAGAAGGAGGCATCGAGGTCGTGAATAGAACTAAACCGAAAAGATGTACCAAAGTATCATATATCACCCATAAGTAAACAGGCGTGCGCTTTGAAGGAAAGGAGAACAGTCCTGGAGGTAGAAAGATAGAGATATCAGTTTGGGTCGGCTATTGAAGAATTGGCCCTATTTCAGCGGGGAGAGCAGGGTGTATATTCCTTCCACCTGTCTCCCTCTCCTACTGCAAATCATCGGCCGCGACCGTGGCGCGGGTGGCAGGCTAGTCGCCACGGGGGGGGGGGGGCGGAAGTGCGGCATTAGGAGAGAGCACAGTGGTTCTGTTCGGACGAGGATGCAAGCTGCTGCGCGGAGCGCCGTCTGCGGGCGGCTGCCTCCGCCTCTTCGGCTGCGAGGGAAGCTGCCAGAGCCAGTGCCAACTGTCTGTCCTCCTCCTCCTGAAGAGCCCGATCAGTCGTCGCCTCCGACATCCGAGGCGGCCCATTTACAGCCACTGCGGCGGAGTTGTTCTGCAAGAGATCGAATTTCAGCTTGTAACTTTGACGGGCTACGCCTATCTAAGCACGTTTAAGTGCCTCATAAACAAAGGGGCCTAAGCGTAGTTCATGAAGACTAAAACAGCCAGATCTCTTCACGGGAAAACCAATAGTACCCGATAAATTTGATTGAGCTGCTTTCCATGATAAAGGTGGACCGGTTTTAGGCCGTTTTAGTAACCTAGTTGGCGGTGCAGGGATATCGGTCACCGACCGTTTCCGAGCAAGTAACCTAGTTTTGCGACCAGGACTGCATAGTACAAGTGCACTGCGAGATGCCAAGTGCGCAAATCGAGGATGAAAGTTGGCCGTTTTTTCACCTCACCTTTGCCCATCGAGGTCGACTTGGACAAAGGAGGCCCGAAAAGCAAAATGACTCGGAGGTGAGTAAAGCAAGTGAGCTAGTGACGAAGGTTGGGACGGTTAAGAAAACACCTGGCAAACTTCGTACAAGACTAAGACACCCCGTCAGAACAGTTCAATACACGAAACTTTTAATTATTATTTAAAACAGACAATTTCTACGGAAATTTATGTCAGAAGAACCAGCATTTCGACAATGTTAAGCTTATTTGACCCAGGTGTTGCACAGGGTACGACATGAAACAATTCGATTTGTGACTCTGTTGGCAAAAAACAACCACATTTACCCGTGATCCACCACTTAGGTAAAACATTTTCGGAACTTTGAAACAGAGGCTTTTTATGTGAGGGAAAGTGACAGAAACACAGAGCAAACCGAACTGAATCGCAATCTCAGTTGATAAATTTCACAAGTACTCAAGTATTGCTGTTGGAGACCTTGCAGACCTTCTCCACGGTCACACACAAAACAGTCAAGTCTGGATTAGAGGCCGGTCACACAAACGTATTCCATATGGGGCTCAGCAACCCGTTATGCACTCCAGGGAGGCAGGTTAAGGGATCATGCTGAAATAGCTCCACCCTTAATGTCGCCAGTATGTGAGATTTGAGACCTTAAATAGAAGACAGGTTCTGGTAGAGATAGGGATCAGTTTGGGTATAGTGTTCCTCCGAGCATCCCAACTTTGTCTTACCACTATGACATGGTAGGTGGGAGAGTGAGTAGACAGAGCGCAATCCTACGTGTACTTCACTAATGCCCCCCTCCCATCGTCTCTTGCGACGGACAGCCCTATTATGCATTCTCCTACGGTTATGACGGCAAACTCAGGCTTCGGGCAGCTGCAAAAAATAACTGTTCATGGATGGTTCTACATCTGACATGCAAGTAAACCACGCGTAAATTCTTCTTGCAACCGATCCTTCGAAGTCCTTTGATGTAAATGGTGAATAACTCTCCCGGCCCCACAAACGAGAGCAAAAACTACGGGAACTGGATTTTTGGTCAGTAGAGTAAGCTTCGTGTCTTCTGCCGTCTAAAAGGACGACACACTTGTTATGATAGAATATCCCGCCCAAAACGCGCAACTTATTGCCCACGTAGATGTCTTCAGGTGCTTCGAATGCCCCTTAAACTTTCGGTTTAGGGTTTATTGAAACCAACTCAGCGCACTCCGGGTACCCAGTTGACACTGATAGAAATTAAAAATCTATGAACGAACTTCACCAACGAGGAAATTAGTCTTCGGACTTAAAAATGCAGCCATTGGCACCATATCACTATCACGTGGCGTGATGGAGAAAAAGTTGTCTTGCCCACCAGTACTCCGGCCTTATTAATGTTCAGCAATTTGTATTCACATTGTGAAAAGTGCGCAGTTTGTTAGAATGGTCACATACTCCGGTTTCTGGATAGTTATCTGCAACATCATAGTGGCCTTTTGAAAAACATGCGCAGTTACATGCCCATTTCCATGAGGTGGTTTTTCTAATTCCTTAAATGGACGTTGAGATGCGGTGGATTACATATGTAGAGACTTTTCCAGATTATACTGCATAATATAGGTGTGCCATATGTCGACAGATAGGGGGCGTGGCAAGGTGTGGGAATTCAGCTGCGACCAGGTCCAACTAACACGAAGCAGGTCATCCGAACACAGTGGATAAGGGCATGACCTCTTTCTCTGGCCATGACAAAGAAGTAGGCAATTCTAGCTAAAGATAAATATTTTGATAGGGACGAGTCTTGCATGCGCGCCCCATTTGCCTCGTTCTTGTGGCCGTAAGCAGACGCAAGAAGAAACAAGGGTACTTCAGAGAAACCAGCAGTCTAGGCTGGTATTCATGTGGAGTATTCTGTGACGGATTCCTGAGTCATTATCCCAAACAACGCAGCGTACGTTCACTTAATTCAGATCTTTGTGGACAAACTGGAAAACTAGTACGTTGCAGCGGGCGCCCGAACGGGGGTTTTTTATACGTTTAATGCGTACGATTGTTATCAGGTCTGACCCAGTCAGAAGATGTCAGGGATTATAGCTCTTCCTACGCGATAGCTGATCTGGAGAGTCCAACTCGACCCCTCTGCAACAAGGGCTGGGGGCCTAGGTTTGCGGAACATCTCATGTCTTGATGGGCTGTGCCGAATCAGGATTTTGGGCTGACTCCGTCTTCACCGCTTCCATCTGGGCATTGACGTTAGGTTAAGTACAGCAGACTGAACTCATAGGGCGCCGGTAAGGTACATGGTAAACCACTCCAGTAATCTTGCTTCGATGACGATATGTCTTCAGGACGTTGCTTCGGGCAGCACAGATTGTCTTATCAAAAACTACGTAAGCGTACCCCGCCCGAAGGACCGTTCTCAGGCAACGGTGCTCAATCGTCTCCAGTCTTTACCTGTCTTCAACGTGTGAAACCTAGCACTGACAACCCCGAGACACCACATTCTACGGGTCATCATAGCTTGTCGCTAGCAAGGCGGTATCGTCGGCGTAGTTGTTGTCAATCAGGTGGCATCCTGGTGCAGATTCAAGACCATCACAACCACGTGGAGCTATTCCAGTCATTAACGTAGTCAAATGAAGAAGAGTGGCAGGACACAATCTCGCCGCAGCAGAAGTACATGGCTGGGGCACCTCCTTCCGCCTTGTAACCTGACCAAGTTGGATCTCATCTTGCATTCGTGCACAGTTTAATACCTACAAGTTACGCTGCAGTAACTCTCGCACTTTTCAAAGACAGGCTTAAAGATGGCCAAGCTGCGATCATCGGGAAGGCCTTATTTTCCCTATGCCCGTACAATCACCTTATAAACCCAAGGTACCAAAGTGCGGGGATGCCATCCTCACCTGGAGTCTTGTTGTCGCGTAACGACGATTTCCTCTTGAGTAGGGGTCACATGACAGTGCATACAATGGAGGAGGGTGGTGTCCAACACCCAGGTGGATTGAGGTGGCGTTGAGCTGGTTGCCAAAGTTTAGAAGACAGTCGAAATACTTAGGCCAGTGTTCGACCTGAGGTAGAGCGGCAGTGGTTTGACTGTACGAAACGTCCACGTCGGTTGGTGGAAGTTGTAACGCTGACTGATTATCTATTAGCTTACTCGGAAGAGGGGATACATGTCAGGGCGTCTTTGGCGGACTCTAGGGACATCAATGCAGCTCTCCTGGCTTAGTTCCCATCCAGTTACTGGCGCAAGAGTGAATAACGGTGGACGTTGCGGTTGACTGAAGTGGCACCTGAAAGCCGCACAAAACGGTAACTGCCTTGGCTGCAGAACTACCGTGGCCTAGGATGGTTCAAGGTTCTGCAGCTGAACTCACGACATAAGATGGATGCGTAGTGCCGAAAATGGTAACGTCCATGAGTCGCACAGGCCGAAAGTTCACCTTTCATCCGCATCCAAAATGTCACGTGCAAGACGCCTTGATGTGGCAAAATTACAACAACCCAGCACCGCCGAGGCCCTGAACACAGAAATGCGGTCGCGTTTTACGACCCAGATCACGATAGAAATTATTAGTTTGCGAAGCTGCTGCGATTCACCCAGTGTAGCCGCAGTAACTGCATCCGCGGAAAACCTTACAGTTGTCTGTTCAGACGACTTGAGCCAGGTTCCGCAACGATGACTCCCCTCACCAACTCTGGAAAATGATGGAAAAATCGGCTAGGAATCACCACAAGCACAATTGGACTAAAATAGCGACCTCCATGGAGCAGCCCTTAAACACCAGTGGCACTCGGAAACTCAACCATATTATCCACCAACTTATTGATAAACTCTCTGCATTAAGTGACTCGGTTAGCGAGGCGAATGGCGGTTTTATTGCTCACAACTCGGCCAAAGTCGAGCGCCGGCATGTGAACTTCGAGCATCTTTTCGACTTCGACGAGAAACCCACAACGCCCTCGTCCTCCTCTATGGCAGTCTCATCCCTCTCCAGCATATACAGTATGGACTGATCCTCGCCCTATCAGGAAGAAATCGCCGATGCAATACAGAGTCGGCACACAACGGCGGCCGGTAATGACGATATCCTCATTGAAATCTACAAATTCTGTGTCGACGTTCTAGCAACCTGGCTTTATGAAGCGATTGGGCAAGCGCGGGGAGATGGGATCGTTCCTGATGACTGCGGCTCGAGCGGCCTTGTGGCTGTCTTCAAGAAGGGATGGAAGACAGTGCAAAAACGACCGCCGCACAAGCATCATTGACGTTGATGCAAGTGTTTCTGGCACGGTCATTATCAGGCGATTACAGAGTGCGCGTGAATCTGGGACAAAACCCAACCAAGCCGGATTCCAAGTTAGAAGCAACCAGAAACGCGCACTGCGGCGAATTCCGGAATTCTGCCATGACTGCCAAAAACCGACGGCCGTCGGCTTTGTTGACTTCGTCGCAGCGCTCGATTCCGTTCATCGTGAATCTATGTGGCGGATAACGTGACCGGTAGAGGGGCGCTCACGGGATCGAGCCCCTGGTGTTCCACACCTCGGGGTTGGGCGTGATCGGCTGACGACGGCTAATAAGCCAGAAATGGTCATTTTCGTCTTTGTCGGTAATAGCATTCTCATAATGGGACCGATCGTTATTTTCACAAAGATGTTTGCCATGATCAGGGCCTACTACCGCTACTCCACTGCTTGAGTTCTAGTCAATAAAAATCCTCCCCAACAGTTCGGCGTCCGATCAGGCGTTCCACAAGGTTGTATCCTGTCGACCATTATCTTCAACCATGCCATTGACTGGATTCTCCTAAAGGCCCAGAAAAGCTTTAATGTTGAGTTGCACGCGGACGCCGGCTGACTGATTTCGACTACGCTGACGATACTCAACCGCTGGTCTCCAGCCGTGGTGATCCACAGGCTGTAGTGTTACAAGTGGATGAGGTCACTAACTTGATCGGTTTACTCATTAACGCTGGGAAGCCCAAAGTACTTTAAACTGCATCCCTCACCAGAAGGCACACCTCGAGGTCAATGGTTGTCGACTTGAAGGATATAATTTCAAATACCTCGGGAGAGCCTACTGCCGCATGGACAGAGTAAGGACATTGTTTCCCGAATCGATTCGGCAGGCAAGATTTCCACAGTCCGCGCGAAGTGCTCATGGACTCTACGGGGCATTTCCATCGCCACGAAGATCCACGTGTACTATGCATCCGTCCGATCAGTCCTCCCCCACAGTCGTGAGTGATAGGCTTTGCGCGTGGAAGATGAGCAAAGACTGGAGGTATTTGACCTCCGCTGCCTAAGGACCATCCATCGGGTGAGGTGCACCGACTTCGTCTATTAAAATAATCCGCAATCGCTGCCACAAAATCGCAAGAATATTTGGGCTCGTCCAAGGAAGACGGCTGGGGTAGTATGGGCACCTTCTTCGTCATTCAACTCATGAATTTAGTGCTACTACCCTCGATCCGGTGTTGTTGCCCATCTGGCGGAATCGAAGAGGAGGCCAACTCAAAAGCTGGCTCGACACAGTTCGTCAAGACATGAAAGTAAACCTTGGACCTTCGGTATTTGGCCTTCGTCGCTAGATGAGAGAATGGGTTGGGATATCAAGACCCGTTGCGTGGACAGATATAATCTGCAACACCACCAACGCCGGGTAGAGCAGGCACGATCACAGCTGCGCCAACTACAGGTATAGTAGATGTGCTACCTCATGAAATGTCCGCCGACATCCGAAGTGTGTTTTGATTCGAAAAGACTGCTTAAGTAGGGTTGTAATATTAATAACCGTGCACCATACTCCCAAGACATTTCAGGCACGTCCGGGTACTGGCTTTTGCATAAGCTTCTTTTAGGCCACCTGCAAGGACAACGCTCTGGTTGAAACGACTACTTCAGCAGTACGAGTCTCTTCAATCGATTTCCGATGTTCCTATGAATTCAAATATATTTCACAGGAAACATTGACAAGAATATTCTTGCCTGTACTAATGTGATAGCAAATTACGCCTACGTGAAATTTTATGCTTGAGGAAAGAGTATTTCTCGATTTAAAAAGCTTCTAATTATGAGGTTTCTTAAGAACGTGAAATGTCCATTGAGAAAGGCTCATATCTGTCCATTTAGGAACGCTGTCTATGAGGTACACAGCATGGTCCACATCCATTACAAAACCTATAAGCCCTATGTGACGTCTTTTCAGTAGCGTAAAGAAATGTATGATTCTCCCTACGCGAAAAATATCCAGCTCGTATTTTGAATACCCTGGATGCAAGTCCAACGGCAGGTTGGATTCAAAATTATTCGGGGGTTGAGGTTTATTGAAACCAAAAAATACCCTTCCTCCAAGCATACAGTTTAGACAAGACGCAATTTGCGCAATTCGAAGTGTAAAAGTACACGTGCGAGTTACTATACAAGAGTCAGAGTTTGCTCTCCGTGTTAACAGTCGACGTTCGGTACAGAAATGTCTGCAGTTTCCGCGGTCATAGTAGTACTGGTAGTAGCAGACTGGAGCAACCGCCAAAATAAGCCGGTAGGGATGAGTTCCTCGATTACACTACTCAGTGTCAAAGTGTATGTTCATTCAAATACGGCTGTAATACCCAAACGGCAGCTTTGTTGACCTCTTTTACAAGCAAGAGAGAGCCCCCCATTCTTGCAGTTAGTTTTCTGACTGTCGTCTTATTCCGTAGCTTACTTTGTTCAAGAAAAATCCCAACGTCAAGGAAACAAAGACGTTCAATCCCCTTGACAGTCAGTGTGCTATAGTGCTCCAACCCGCTGTTAGCGCGCTAACATAAGTGTGTCTTTGAGATAGCGGTTAGATCGGGTACAATCGCAATCGTACTAAGTGCAGTGTACCCACTTTATTTAAGTGCAACCTCTTCAGTCGTGTTAATGGCCTTAAGCAAAACACCCACTATATCCCAAACACTAGGCCTCCGGCACTTTTTGACGTAATGTTGTGCAGACGGTGACGTACTTGTCCTAATGGATCAACTGCTTCTTAAGAGGATCAAAGTCCTTAGTGAGTCGGTTTGGATTGCAAATCCGTTGCTCTCTCTTAGACAACTTGTTGATTTCTATTTGCCAAGGCGATGTAACGTCCAGGACACTGAATGGTAAACAAGGTAAAGTGACAAAAGCGCAGGACTCAGCTAAGGTTAAAGGGTGAATTCCTAATAGCGTCGGGTAAGAGTGGCCTAAAAAGATCCACAATAGGTGACCTAAATAACTAAATGTTAACTGAAACAATAGTACATGATTTTGCTTAATAGGAACTACTTAAGTGGAATTGTAATGCTGATTGGCATGCAGCATAATCCCATGACGTCTTTCCGATTACTTACCAAAACCACTCATTGGAAAATATTTACTTAAGTGGTATTTGTTTTCCCCATTAATTCTTATTGTCCTCATTAATGCCAACACACTTTGCAGAAAATATGCACAAAAATCCCTTTTCATATTCCTTTTCGAGCAAAATACGTCTTCTTTTCGAAGTTTCCATTTAAAGAAAGGGTATTTATTGATCTTTTAAGAAAGTTTACCTATTTCCGAATAATTTTGAACTGTACCTGCTGTTACACTAGCGTTTAAGGTTTCCAAATTACACGCTGTGTACTTTCAGCCATCTATTCTCTATGCTATTACGAAGTTACCATTTGGCGTCCAAAAATTGACAATAGATATGGTGCACGTTGTATGCGCCAAAACAAGCGTCCGTAGATGTGAGGATAGGATGTACGTTGATAAACATTTCACAGGCTCAAAACTGCTCCTAATTACAAAGTTCTCCTAAACAGATCGGTAACCTCTCTTCAAGTGGATAATTCTAAAAAGGCGCAGGTTACTACAAAATAGGTTACTACAGAAGACGCTCTCATGCATACTTTCCATGAAAGGTACTTGGATTTCTAAAGAAGTCAAAGATCAACGGGGAGAATCATACTGATCGAGTATCCCTTTTCTGATGAATTTGACTCTCGCAGGTGGCCGCACAGACGCGCAGTCCAACGTCAACAGCCCGGTATGTACGAAACACCATGGGTCCTCTTGCACACTAATCAGCACTGAAGCCCCGTTTAAGTAATTCCTCCTAACCGAAGTACTATTTCAGAACTTCAGCTAGTGTTTCGCGAGTGAGATCACCCACTGTGTACGCATCTGAATCGATAGTCTGTAATTAAGACTGACGAAGACGCATTCAAGACCAAACCGCTAACACATTTACTTGCCCTTGCAAAGTTTTATCCCAGCAGTAGTTTAGCCGGCACTTGTAAACGGGAACACGAAGCAGTGTCCTACAGTCTGTGATCCAACCTTTAATTATCTTTTCCCAGTTGGCGCTTAATATCAAAACTGCTATGCGTGGAGCAGGGCAGCTCGAGCCATTGCCTCTTGCCCAGCGTTTACCTTCGAAACCTTCAATAATCTATGCAGCGGTCATCTCGTCATCGGAATACCAGGCCAGCAGGTGATTGAACCGGATCAAAAACTAAAATATGACTGCGGCGTTGAGTACAAGTTGTTTGTATGGCTTCCACCATATAGTATCATATTATGTATGCATGATCTGAGTCTGAGACTATGACGTTGCGCTAGGCGCCGTGGCTAGGGAGGTTACCAACTGGCAAGGGAACTCGGACCTCGCAGTCAGCCCAGTGTTCGTGTGGAGTGGCGGACTGGTTGATCGAGAGTCAGGCTGCAATGGCTTCCTTTAAATGTGGCCTCTATGGCATTTCCACTCCGTGGAATCCGAGCCGCCCCTTCCTCTTGTGTAAAATCCTGTTCAGTATGCGTTATGGACCAGAGGCGTGAGGGGTACGCCGAAGTGCGAAATTTTGTCGTGCCAGCCACCAGCGCCTCCCTCACCACCGGTCTTGACTCCGTCTTGACAAAGGACCCGGGTAGGGGGGAGGAGAGGGTGCGAAAGATGCTGCGCAAGTCTTCTGTCACCATAAACCAAATCACGCGCAAGTCAGCGTCCCTGCTCCCACCCTGCTGTAGAGCACACGGTGGACATAGTCGAAATCGATGGTTGAACTGTCATATAGCATGCTAAAATGAGCAATATAATATTGAGTTCGACCCAGTCCTCGCAAGGAATCTAAACTATGTAGACCTGGGCTTTACAGTTTTGGGCGGAATTGTAATTAGCGGAGAGTTTGGCACTTGATCTTCTGACGAGGATAGCGCAAACGGTGGCAAAAACATGTTTACACCTCGGAAACGCCTTACGTTTGGTGGCTTATTCCATAGGGCACGCTTTATGGCAGCGATTCCAGCAGCAGACATGCGTCGACCGCCAGAGTTGGCCTGCGGACCCTGACAGTTGTGATCCATTTCGTTACGATGGCTGACACAAAAGTTCAGATGGCATCTTTCACAGCGAAAAGGAACCAACTCCTTTTTCTTGCATCGTGGTACAGAGCAGGTGTTCACGAATATCTGAAATTGGAAGAAAGTAACGAGCCATAACCGGGGTGTGGGAGACGCCGTCTGGTCATGTTCGCTCGACTCGAGCTGTCTCTGTCAGAGGTGTCATCTGTCAAAGACCCACAAACGGGCGCATAACCACAGAAGTTCGCACAACGCACAGAATCAAAGACAGGGGGAGGAAATCAAAGACTTGGTGTCGAATATGGTAGTAATGAAAGCGGAAAATAGAAGAACACATCGTCTCCCTTTGACGACTACGTACTATGTCAGAAGAAAACGTTGGCGGAGGCCTAAAACGCGGCCCCATCTAGGCATTTCCTAGTGAACTGCCTACGAATTTCGTACTAATATCGACTCCAGTACGTGGGTTTCTGTTTAGTGTTAGGGTTTAAAATTACGACTAGGGATTTAGTGTTAGGGTTCGTATTTGTAAGTTAGCGTCAGGGTTCCGAGTTACGGTTTGTGGTTAGGATTTAGAGTGAGGGCAATTATATTTCATGGAAAATAGGCATAAAAATATTCATGCTTTTGCTCATTCGGTAGGGAATTACGTCTTCTTCCAATTTTATACTCGAAGGAAGGGTATAATTGGGTTTTAAAAAAGTTCCTAATTATGAGATTTTTCAAGACCGTGAAATGCCCGTCCGTAAAACGTCATGTCTCTGCGTTTACTAATATGGCTTAAATCCACTGCTAAATTTTATGATCCCTATATGGTCTGCTCTTAATAACGTAGAAAAATGTATGGTTTTCCGTACGCTGAAAATATACGGCTTGTAGTTCGGAAACCCTGAATACAAGTGCAACGGCAGGTCGAGTTAAAAAATATTCGGGAATTGGAAGTTATTGAAAACCCAATTATACCCTTCCTTCCAACATAAAATTGGATGACGTAATTCTCTACCGAATGAGCAAAAGAAAGAATACTTTTATGCATGTTTTCCATGATTTTTTAAGGACATCTAAAATCAGTGAAAAAATTCATGGTACTTAGCTATTCATTTTTACAGAGCCCAGTTTTTGCATTCAGCCGGAAAAAAATTCGTTCGCAAGCCGGCTTTCTGAAATAACTGAATTATTATAGGATAATGCTGCATGATGGTTAGTTGTACAACCCTACTTAATTAATCTTTTCGAAACGAAAACCCATTTCTGAATTTCGGTTAATATTTCATGAGTTAGCACACTTACTGTAATTCATAAAAGCATAACAAAGGCAAATCGTACGAGAGGTGGAAACGCACGTTACGAATGCCAGTAGTAAAAGTACATTCTAATGAAGAGGGTTGTTCTGCATCGACAGGTGGATGAGAAAGGTGAGTTCCGGTGACACCCCCTTTTCTCTGTTAGCCTGACTAACACGACGTAAAATGGGCCAGAAGTCATCTCAGACACAACTGTGAAAAACTCGGCGGCCTAGGTGGGGTTTGAGCTCACGACAACAAGTGCAAGACTTGTGTACAGCCAACACCCTGGCCATCTGAGTTCTAGGGCCCCGACCGGGAGGTGTGCGTTCAATCACATTTGTGCGGGTTGCCCGCGTGATTGACTAAAACGCATGGAATCCACCAATTTTGATATAGCAGGACGATTGCCAAAGAAGGATTCCCTAAACAACCAATCTAGAATCAAAATTATTCGACTTAACAGTTTCAGAACATTCTGAACTCTCGCGTGCTTGCAGTTGATTGGCTGTTTCGTGCGCTATAACCTCCTCGTGGAAGAGTCGCGAATGTTCCACCTTGCATGAGTGAGCAAAGGTATAACGCTCGTTCGATCACGCAACAAACGCGTGCACTGCGCAGACGGCGTGGGCGCATTTTCCCTTCACTTTGGATCGGGACACCACTGTGTCTCCGTCCTCCATAACAAAAGTCTAGAACGATCACAGCAACCAAATGAGCAGCTGGCTTCCAGAAGCCGTACTTTATGAGTTCTGAGCGATTTACGATGACCAAAGTTGTCTTATCTACAGTATCCTTTAAAAATTTAGGTAAGTTCAAACCTTTGCATTTATGTTCTGGCAATATGAAGTTAACAGCTGAACTATGGTTTTCCTGTCGTCGGTACAAAATCGCATCATAATCACAGGTACGAACGTAATTTTCGCGAGTAGACACGTGGTTATATTGCTTATCTACTATGAAAAAATGGAAAGCCATTCCCTTGAAATGAAATATGCTACGAGTTACAATGCGCCAATCATAATTTGAAAACACCAAAGAACGCAGTTACACTATTGACACATGTTCAAGGAAATTATGGATTAATTGCCAAAGAAGGGCGATGTCAATAAAAGGTGCTCGGCCCAAGGAATCGAAATTGCTAATAGTGTCGAGCATAAATTAATACTCACTGCGCACTTCTGACTGACCCAGAGAGAAGAAGAAGCACTTTCCAAATACAAACATTTCTTCTTTACCAGATGTGGGAAAGTGTTTCCCGAGACAATCCAAACTCGATGGAGTCGCACGCACATCTTAGGCAGTAAGTGTTTACCAAATGCGTAAACTAGCAACCACTGGGAAGTTTTAGGGTTGGCACAGAAACCGGTCCCTCGTCGGGCATGTGAAGGGATGTATGCCAAATTTATGAACTGAGAAAGAACGTCCAGAACAACTAGGAACGCGTTGAATGAAATACAGAACCTGCACTTCTCACCTCCTGCTCTTTTATCCCCTGCTGTTTCCCCAAACCGCCCATCCCCGTCCTAACAAATCACATGTTTGTGCGTTGGTAACGAACAGTTCGGAAGATACGTTTGTCCAGACTAACTAACTGGAAAGTCTAAAAAACACCAGTTTGTGCAGTCACTACAGCCTTAGCTGCGCCAGATCTCAAGTTCCGAACATAGTAATTTGAACTCCCAATAAAATAGACGCGACGAACGCCTCGAAAGTCAACCTACAATAAACAAGCGTTAGTTAATTATGAATGTGGAAATTTGGAAGACGGGGCATAAACCAACCTTGCCCTTGAGGGCCAATGCGGGTTTAGACTTGCATGCGGTGTCAATGTGCTGGCCAACCTTGATGTCTGCAGATTCGTGGGGACCTGTGGGAACTGGGACGCCGCACAGGGGGCATATGGGAACTTGGCGCTCTAGACTCCCAATAGCCGGGCAAGAGTGACAGTCGTAGCAGTAGTGATCCTTGCAGAATACTTTGCGGCAGCCGGAACACCGAACGGGCAGGAAGTCTACAGACGTTTGAATGAGGAGTTAACGTAAATTCAAGGGGGTGAAGATAAAGGTTTGGTTAGTAGTCGGTCAAATCAAGTGAAACTAAACTACCATTGGCGATAAACATTTGGCCCGAATTTATGCCATCAACCACAAGATAAACTCGGCGCTTATTGCGAGTCCCATACCGGATATTAGGAACCCTAGCTTTCAGTAGCTTGTCGTGACCCTTACCTCGGACAAGGAGACTAGTTACGGCAGTGCATGGTTGATAGGGAGCTCGCACAATGAGAAAACTTGCTGCGAGGTTGAGTCCAACCCCTGGTTCCCAGAATCGGTGTACCAAGTGTTCCGTCTCTAAGGTGTAGTAGCCACGTCCGCCAGCTGAGCAGATGAGGCGATGGTCCCTTATTCCTGACTTGTCATGTGTGTGCAATCTTTAATTCATACGATTACTTCATTTTACGCACTTGTGCTTGAGGCGTCTTACGTTCTGACGCAACAGGTTATGTCAATAACACCGCAGGGGATTGCTGCTGACTGCGGACAAGTGATTGACGACTATTCGACTAGCATGCCGGCCATCCAACCAGACGAACTTCTGATCACATGGTTAAAGATGCTCTAGAGATAAAATCCCGCCAAATCTATCTGTTTCCTCATTTGAACATTACACGCTATCACTGGACAGGGAGTTCGACTTACTGCACCCCCAAATCGGAGCGGAAAATGACAGGGATGTTAGTCAGTGGGTGAAGAGGCACTTGAAAAATTACTTGCGGCTGACCGCATTGCCGATGTAGATTCGATCGGAGCTAGGTCGAACAGTGGAACACCGGCACCATTAATCCAAAAATTCCACGTGAAGAGACATCTGCGTCCAGAAACTGCCTCAAATACGTAGGGCAGTTATTTAACAAAGGTCTGGCATACTCTCCGTTTAATCTTCTGTATAGTTTTACGGAAATGCAAAATGCAAAGGCGAGACCCACGAAAGAAATACGGTGGGACAACTCAAAAGTATGACAAAGTGAGGAGTGATGACCAACAAACCCTCGTCAAGTAATGGCAGTGCACAAGCGCCGGTGATCAGTGGTTCGACTCTAGCCCGCAATCAACGCCTTAAGATACGTGAGTTATTCGACTACCAGAGTTAGCCTTAGGAAACATTATACATTGCGGATTATACCACCACCCATCACCATAAATCGGGTCTGAGGCGGGTTATCGGGGAATCGATTGCGTTTAAGGATTTACGGAACAAGTCAGAGGATGACAATGCAGAGCTTTTGCCGGTTGGGACTAGCTTTAAGGTACAACAGCTCATAGCCTATAAGGTTAAGTATATGAGTTCATAGGTATTTTGACAGATTTTGAATAATTCCTATTGACCCAACTGTGAAAAACTCGGCGCCTCGGTGGGATTCGAACCCACGCAGTAAGGGAAAGGCTTTAGTACAGCCAATGCTCTAACCACTTGAGCTACGAGGCCCCGCCGGACGACTCGAGTTTAATCACATTTGGGTCAAGTTTACTCGCCCAACCTACTGCAACGTCTGGAATCCACCAAATCTGATATAGTAAGTTGACTGCCCAAGCAGGATTTCCTAAGTAATTCACCTAGAATCCACCAGATGACTACCAGGGTGATCGGACCAGTCTAACGGTGATATAGCAAACGCTCATAACACCATAAATTAGCTGGAGCGTAAGATGGACCACATAAGTTGCTTCCTCTAAAAGTCAAATGCCGCTACACGCTACCCTCTATGGACCTCGACTGAAAAAGGTATACACACGGCTCGTAGATAAAGACAATTATCTTTTTAGATTTACTTGTCTATCCGTAACATCGGGAATCATAAAGCTACAGTATTCTTACCATGATGAGGGAAGTAACCAAAAACCACAGCCGAAATTTCGTTTCAATTCTACAAATAACAGTAGCGCAGCAAAGGACGTTATCACATATTGACACAAATCTGTTAGAAGGATGATAGTGATCAAGTGGAACGCGTTAATGCGCAATGAGTTTCGATCGAAGGTAATGCACAACACCGAAATAACGTAAAAGTGCAACAAATGCAAATTATTAACATGACCGTCGATAAAGTGGTAAGTAAATGACACCGGTAACATTGGGAAGGGATGAAGAAGGAATATTAGCGACAAAGACGTAAAATTCCGGTCAAGAATTAAACACGTTTTAGACAACAGTACGGCTAAACAATGAAGAGCGTGAGCTTTCCTTTAGGGATTTAAATGCATTCAGCTGACAAGGGAGTGGTGACCAATTTTTTTCGTGTTAACTACGACCTTGTCAGGCTACCCCTTTTTATTCTGAAGGGGCGGAAAAATGTTCTACGCACGATTGAAATTAAATAGTACGCGCTCAAAGAAAGTAACACCCACGTGGCCAATTTGAATACTCAGCTGTATGGAAGACCTGGAGAATGATAAATAAGTTGGTTATGTTGTTAAGAAGTGATGGCAAAAAAGTAACTATCGGAAATTAAATTAAATAATCCCGAAGTATTAAACAGAACAATGAGAACCTGATCGCAGGGTACTACATCTACGAAGACGTTTAATGGATATGTCGTTTGCAATAGGAAGTTTTGCTATTAAGTTAGACAACGAGCACTGCAAAGCTTCGAAATGCGCAATGCGTCGGTTAGGATAATAGAAATTGTCTAACCCGCAAGCTTCAGTGATAATGATTTATTTCGAAGAGCATTGGGCTTTCTAGGACATCCGAGTGAATTGGGATTCCTCTGCACTCAGCCTTCTTCAGGCGCATTGTTTTCTGGGTTAATTTGAGATAGTCACTATTTTTTGATAGTTTATAGTACTAAGGTGACGTATGATACGTCACTGTCACAAATTTACTAAACATTCTGGAGTGTCTACTACACCGTCCTACGTTCTTAAACTATTTAAATAATGTACATAGGCTGTTAAGAGAGAAATAAATTGCGCGAGAAGGTAGGTTAACGTATTATAATGTTGGAGAAAGTTTGACTAAATTTCAATTCAAATTCGCATTAGCCTAACTAAAGTCGAACATAATTTTTAGGAGACTTTATTATTTACTTGACCCAAGTGAAAATTATCAAGAAAACTTAGACAAAGTGTCTGAGAGCTCGGGAACTTATCATCAGTGCGACCGCTGCCATGAAAATCATGGCAATATGTGGAATGCCAGGGATAACGTAGGCCGGGTGACTATCAAAGCCCCTTGACTTAGCAACCGGGCTACCGCGGTAGCGTGGAGGGGCGCAGGAATCGACGATCGAGGAAAACGCTATTGACGTATATCGCCTCGATATACTCTTGCTACTAGGGGAGAGCAACACTATCTATAGAGGGTAAATCAATCACTCATAATGCATCTCACACACAATGCGGATAATAATGACAGTGCGCTATTACGTCGAAATATTAAAATCAAAAGGGCTTTTCAATTTACAATCTTAAGTGCAGTTAAGACTAGTGGTAAAAACTGCCATAGCCTATTTTTTTTTACCGGAGCCCATGGTTGTAACACCATGTATGGCAACATGCATACAAGTGTGGGTCATAGCAAAACGTACACGTACCAAGGGTTCTGCACGTTGGCAGGGCACAATTCTCACCAAGTTCAGGAAACTCCATTCTAGAAAATGACCAATCAAGTGCTGGACAAGTTGTTCTTAGTTGGCGGGTTATGTTGACTTCATTTTATTGAAATAATAGAGCGAAAGTATTTGAAGACCCTATTTGAAGCAGAAACGCGTCGCGTGTACAGTTGAAGCCAGTAAAGTAGGAATGGCTAAGTAGGGCGGCGGGATCAGATATAACTATTAAAGAAAAATTCATCCCTTAAGGTCGACAATGGTACTCTTGTAGGCCGAAAAGACAAAACTTAAAAATGCCTGTTTCGCGTGCAATAATGTTTGTAATTTGAAGACAGCAAAAGAAGAAGACTAGGGAACAAGGATGATGTGGGCGGAAGAGGACTGAGACAGTGCGGACATATCTTGTAGATTTACAAACCCTTCTCATCGATACTCGTCTATGAATGCCCCTAACAATTATGATTTTACACTGGGTAATAACCAACGGCCTGTTATTTATACAGCCAGTAGTTCTTACGTGGACTTCACTAACTCCTTGAACCTCCATCCCTGTCGAAACCCCTAAAACCCCGACCGGCTTGAGGTAGCTTTAGGGGGCTATATAGGAGCTAAGTGCAAGGCTGTATCAGGGTTTTCAACGCCGCAGCCCCTATCGCCCCCTCACGGGAAAAAACACAACGTGGCGCGTCCATTCCGCCTTTTTACGCCTCCTTTCAAGATAGCGACTTTGCTATCCTCATTATAATGTCTTACACATGGCACAACGTGACCCGGCATCCTCTAAGTTGACCCAAACGTATGTAGACATCGCAGTGCACGCTCGCATTACCCCCTCCATAACGGTATGGGACAATGAACGCAATTAAATGAAGAGAAATAGTATATTGGTAGCAAACAAAGTAGGAAACAAATGCGGCGCTCCTTTCAAATTTGGTTTCAAATTTTCGTCCTTCGAGGGGGTTTTATTCTTTGAGATTTCCGTTTTCTGGATGCTCCTGCACCCAACCGGATTTTAAAATTGAATTCCAGACAGCAATATTCGCATCGGCAACAATTCACAACACCACTTCTGCAGAACGTGGACTTCGACACTACCACTTTTGAATGCGAGCCCAGAAAGACCGGTCTTCTAGCAAACGAAACGCTTAGAACAACTTCTGCAAAGGCTGAGTCTCACTTCGATTCTAAGACATTAGCTGTACCCTTGCTTCAAAGCATTAGCTCAAACTTCTGTTAAGTGAAATACCGTTGCATTCGACTAGGTTTCTGTTGTCTAAAGTCTCGAAACATTCGTTTTCATTTCTGTTGCCCCAAGACTTCGGACATCAAAACGCCTGAGACCTTCTATTGATTGCGTCTGTCTCCGGCTGCGATCCTTTGTAGAATATTGTATTCTGAACTCTCGCGCATAACGACGTGGGAAATGTAGAAGTTTATGATCCATCAGTCCCGCGGGATGAAAAAGGGGAGCGGGGAGTGGGGGTCCATCCTCCAATACCCGTCTCACGAGGCGAACTCCTAAACCCCTCGGCCATCGACGCCGATAGGATAAACTGAAAGAATATCAATTGTATTAGCCCCATAGTCAGGGGATATCTCGAACTTGGCCATGAGCATAGTGCACTAGCAACTCCATGTGGACCAATGTCGATTCACGTCGGACAGGGAGGATCTAACGAATGCAATATGCCAGTAGTGCTCAAAATAGGACGGAGGTGCCCCGCCACGTAGATAATCCCTACGTCGTTACGAATGCGCAGGATTTTCTACCAGATGATGGACCTTCAAATTGTCGTGCGCGGTGTAAATATTGTGGAGATCTTGCCTCAAACATTACATCGTTGGAAACGAATGTGGTCCTCCTCATAGATTTCATTGCATTGTTACTGAGGTATGATAAATTCAGGTCAATTGATGAATTCAGCAGCCGCCAACAGATAGTTTCGAAACTGACAAACTTGACTAACAGCAACCCACTTATAGAAGGATTACCCTTTCAGGAGATCGCTGGTATTTCATCAGGACCGGGCGATGTCGCTTCTTTTAGATTCAGTAGTTCTTGTTGAACAATAGCCTTTGTGAGCACCACTGAGTCAATTTTCGGGACATCGTCTACCTTGTATTGATCAGCGGGTACAGTGACTTCTCTCGTAGAAACCGACTGAAAGAACCTGGACAGATGCTTAGCCTTTTCATTGTTCTTGTAAACTTCAACGCCATCATTCCTTTTTAACATAGAGATGGAATCCATGTTGAGAGTACTTAGTCTTATGTAGTTGAAAAAAAGCTTTGGGTTTTCTCCTGCACAGTTTAAAATGTTCCCATCGAAGTCTTGGCAAGCTTTGTAAACAAGGCACGTTACACTATTCCGCTGAGCCTTGCACCTATTCCTTGATTCGATTGTCTTATCCCTGAGGTAAGCTTTCCACAACTTTCATTTACAGTTTACTTCATTTTTTAGTATTACCTTTAGCCATCGGAGCCTGTTGGTGATTTTTTTTCAACATAGGGAAATATCTGGTGATTAGTTCATTCAATACGTCCTTAAGTTCTAACCAGTTCTTGATAACACACCATGTGAATGCTGCTTCCTAGTCTCTACGACGCATGTCGAGACGCATTTGGTTGAAGTCACCACGCCATATGTTGCGCCTGATCCCGATGCTTCGATCAGGCACAGAGAAAGGAGAATACTCCCACTGTAGGACCACATGGTCGCTTTTTCCGAGAGGGGGTTGACAGTTTACAACATCAACGCCTTCCGGTGCCTTTGTCAATACAAGGTCTAAGCAGTTAGCTAGTTGTCCTTCACGTAGTCTGGTTGGGGATAAGACGTGTTGTGTGAGATGCGATTTTTGCACATATTTTAGGAGGCGGCGATCAAAGTTAAATTCTGAGCCCGGGGCGGAAGTCAGATCCCAGTCGATATTCGGAGCGTTAAAGTCGCCCATAATCATGACATTGGGTCGGAGCGAAATCGCTTCTAATTCCTCTAGTAGACTACTGTCTGATTGCGGGTCGTTCCTCGGTGGGTGGTAGACCGTCAGGATCTCGAGAGGTTGTGACCCCGGCGTTTTGACGGTGAGCCAAATTGTTTCAATTGTGCGCGCGAGCTGGCCCTCTTTTTCTGACGCAAAAAGACCATATTTGACATACATGAGCACACCTCCACCTTGACGTCCAAACCTCTCCTTTCTGAACAAGTGATAACCAGATAAAGCGACTTCGGGATTGTCTACGCATACGGTCAGCCACATTTAAGTTATGGATATTACATCGGGTAAGGTTTTTTTACCGTAGATCTTAAGTTCATTTAATTTAGACAGCTGACTTTGCACATCGGAATATGAGCATTTTAGCTTTTTGGGGACCAGCCTACACCCGCCGCACCCGCCTCCACTGTCCACGATGCCCTTGCACATTCATGCACCGCATGGGCCCGTTCGGCCACATGCGCATCCACGAGAGATGAATTGACCGCAATCTCGACACACCTAACACATCGAGCACGCCTACCATGCCTAGTCCCGCCCCCACTTCACCGCGCCGCACGTCCACCGCCACCAGCTCCATCACACCCAGTGCATCCTTTACACCCATCAGACTCAACCCTACTAGCACCGTCGCCCAGCGCCCCCTACCACCACCGGATCCGCCACCACCATCACCGTAGCTGGTACTGACACCACCGACTTCTCGTGTTCGCACTGTCTCCGCACATTCACCTCATGCATCGGTCTGGTCGGTCACTTGCGAATCCATCGCACAGAGACTAGCTAACCAGTGCCTGGAGCGCCAACCTGCACTCGCCGCATCCGTCTCCACTGTCCACATTGCACTCGCACATTCATGCACCGCATGGGTCTCTTTGGCCACATTCGCGTCTAAAAAAACCTGCGATAGACAATTGTCGGCTGCGCCACATCATCCCATCCTCCCTCACCAGCACCTCATCGCACATCAACATCACCAAACACAAGCAGCGAAATGCCATCTCCTGCGCAAGTGGGAGGTGTGCGTCTTGACTCCGTCTCCATGCGGCTCCCCACCTGCATGTGTGACTCGACTCTGAGACTGTCACGGTACGCAAAACGTCACGGCTTGGAAGACTCTTTAACTCAGTCCACTTAGTCCGTCCAGCTGTGTGCGTATGTGTGTTTGTGTGGAGTGACGGGCTGGTGGGCTGACAGGCAGGCTGAAACAACTCCTTCTAAACGTGACCTACGGCGCCCTCACGCATGTGAGATGTACGCCACTGAATCCGCGTTGTGTGAAATCCTGGTGCTTGTGTTTGGGGAGCCAGGTCGTGCGTGTGTGTCACACAGACAGGGTCACTACATGTGTCAGCCACCGCTTCTATTGCCCGTACCTTCAACTAATCGGTCAGGACAGTGACTGAGGTCTGAAACTGGGAAGGGAGCGAGGTCGACGGCCCAGCACATTTTCTTCACCATAACAAATCCGAGGCGCTTGAAGCTATCACGGTGCGCTAAAAGCCGTGGTTTGGAAGGTTG